CAACAGGGTCACAGGACCATCACGTCGACCCGATTGGGTCGTTTACAGGAAGAGAAAAAGCAATTTTTGTGAACTTTTCATTGATGACGACGGAACAGAGATCTGGGTTTAGTTCAGTCTGTGGTGTTTAACGGGTCCGTTACCAAGGAGACGAGGAGTTTGTTCTGTACAGGAGTCGTTGAGAGATGTTTATTCTATTTATCAGTTAGCTTCAAACATCATAGACAGAAAAACCATTTGTTTTTATTCATTTATTTTATATATGTGGTATATATTTATTTTATTTATTTATTTGATATTTATTTATTTTATTTATTTGTTAACTTTAAATCGTCGTTCATTCTCTGAGGTTAATTCTTGAGCAAAGTTTTTCTGTTATTTTACAGTTTTGTTAAATTACAGATAATATCCAGTAAAATTCCAGAAAAAAACAGAATTTACACGTTAACACTGAAAACAACAAAAAGGACAAAACTGTAAATAAGGTCACAAAAAACAGTGTCATTTTATGGTTGATAAAAATACAATTAAAAAACTCAAACAAACAGTAGAAAAAACTGTAAAAATACAGAAAAAAATACAGTAAAAATACAAAACCTTAAAAAAAAATAATTCCATAAAGTCAAATATTGCAAAATAAAAAATGAAAATTTGTAAAAATACAGATTTTAATACTGACATTATGAACAGTTTTAAGTTATTTTCTTCTGTATTTGTAGTCAACACATAATTAATACATTTTCTCTGAAATTTTACGAAATATCAGTCATATAATAAAACAGGGTCAATTTGTAAAATAACATTTTTTTTTTTTTTTTTTAAAGTCTCATTTTATGGTCAAACATTGTAAAAGAATAGTTTACTGAATTATGATGTGGAACATGTATTTTTATTTCTTTTTAAAAAAATATATACTGCCTTTTATCCTGTGAATGAGTCGTCTTCGTGCTGCAGACTGAACTCTGATCAGACTCCTCCTGCTTTTACTCTGAAGGACAAACACACTGAACACTTCCTGTATTTATTTCTCATCTCTTTGGGTCTCATTCTGCTCTCCGGGGTTCTAACCAGCTGCTGATGGAGGACAGGAGACCCGACTGGCCATGAGTCCCTCTGAGCTTAATGAAGACAGCAGCGCTGGTTCTAACTAACGGCCGGTCCGGTCCGGTTGGTGATAACTTAGAGAGAAGGAATCAGAGCAGCGGTTCGGTGTCGGCAGTCACAGAACAAGGCTGTGGGTGGGAGGTCTCAGGTATGGACACACCTGAGTGTCCGTCCAGCGACTGTGGCTCAGGACAGCAGGTCAGCCGGAGGATCGATGGAGCTCAACAATGACACCAATGGAGGATTACAGGACTCTGAGAGCCGCTGTCGCTCGTCTCCAACATCGATTCTGTCACACTGCTTATTGCTGCTCCATCGTCTCCTTGTCCCCTACTTCTTCTTCTGCTCTTTAAGCGTTTAGCAGCTTGTGTTTAAGATAGAAACAGATCTGAAGTCATCTGACCAATTATTGGAAACAAAACTCAGCTTTTTTTGGATTTTTGGGATCATGCAGCGTCTTCTCCCTTTGAGCTGTTTGATTAGTGACGTGCAAGGACCAAAAAAAACCTGTTAAAAAAGGCAGATAAAGGCTCTAAATACAGTTAAGATACAGTAAACATACAGTAGACAAATACAGTAAACAGATAATAAAAATACAATAAAATACGATAAAAATACAATAAAACTACAATAAAATACAGTAAAAAAAAATACAATAAAAATACAGTAAAAAAACTAAAAAAAACATCAAAAAATACAGTTAAAATACAGTAAACAAATACAGTAAAAATATAATAAAAATACAGTAAAACATACAGTGGGGGGAAAAACAGTTAAAACAAAATACAGTAAAAAAATTACAGTAAAAAAAAGTAAAAATACAATAAAATACAATTGAAATACAGTAAAAAAAATACACTAAAATTCAATAAAATACACTAAAAATACAGTTAAAATGCAGTATAAATACAGTAATAATACAATAAACATACAGTAAACACAACCCCATCCCCATATATAAGTGCAGAGTGCAGTGAATATAGAAGTTATTGCACATCACTGATTGATTGATTGATTGATTGATTGATTGATTGATTGATTGATTGATTGATTGATTGATTATTGCATTTGTCTTCACAACAAAATGCTTCACAACAAGACAAATGTCAAATTAAAAATAAAATACCTTTAATGAATCAACCAGACCACAACATGCTAACGAGACGTCGAGCAGCGGTCGTCATGACGACGACTCTGTGGAGGTTCATGACCTCCGAGCAGAACTCTGAGTCGACTCACGGCGCTCTGATTGTCTAGTGGATCATATCACTGAAGCTTTATGGTGCAAAAGACGTGTGTTTAAAATAAAACACTCACTTCATACTGATGATGAGTTATTGATTAATAACACTGCTGACAATTGGGTAAGAAAATAGTTTTAAAACTTGCATCCCTCATTGAAAAGTTTCCTTTAACTCGCAAAATATAACCTGAGGTGTTTTATAAAGTTCCTGTTTCCACCAACAGTTTTATTTCTACTGTAAATATCTTTCAGTTGTGTTTAAAATAAGAAGGAAAACATCCACCAAGTCTGTGAAGTTTAAACAGTTCACGAAGCAGAATCCTGTTCATGGTTTAGGATGTCAGAGGTCACCACAGCTCACAGAACCCCCTCAGCCGAGGCCCGCCGACGCCCCCCAGCAGCCGGCCAACGCTCCTGCAGCGATGAGCGAACACGGGGGGCTTCGGTGGAACCCGTCGCTCGAGTCGCCGCCTCGAGTCCTTCGGATTATTCAGCCGAGCCGCAGATCAGCGAAACGGCGGCGTAATTGGCGCAAGCATGCAAGGACGGCACATGAGCTCGTCAGAGGGCCGAGCTCGTTAGGATGCTGCAGGAGGAGGTCGGTGGAAGGACGTCCG